ACATTTTAAAGAATGGCAAAGCAAACACCCCGTACCTGCCGTCCTTAAGAAACAGAACGTAACCACTACTTCTGAAGTCTGCTGTTTGTCTCTCAAATTACTATCCCAGTTTATTTTTTCTTTACAGTTTCACTGTATGTGTGAGCACTGTATTGCTTCATGTCGCCCGTTTTTGAACTTGATTTAAATGGCATCATGCTGCTTGTATTGCTCCGCAACTTGCTCCAGTTGCCCTTTGCGTTTTGGGGATGCCTCACCATTCCTGCAGAGTGGCTCCTGGGCACTCATTCTCACTTTTCGTAGTATCCCTTTGCGTTAAAAGACCCAAGTTTATTTATCCATTTTCCTGATGGTGGTCATCTGTGTTGTCTCTAGTTCTTGCTTCTTTGAGGTTCCGTTCATGCCCCCTGCCATCCGCACGCCAGAGCTCCTCTAGGGGGGAAACCGCGGGGCCTCGGAGGTACCAGTCTGCAGGCCCCCTGTCACGGAGGAGGGCTGCCTTTGGTCTACGTCTTTGCCAATACTTGGTGTTTTTCATACTTAGAGTGTTTTGTCTGCATACGCATGTTTATAATCCATTATTCACAGTAGTCCAAAGCTAGAAAAAACCCAAATAACCTTTGATGTAGGAGTGAGCAAAATGTGGTCTATACATAAAATGGACTATTATTCAGCATAAAAAAGGAAATCCTGACACATGCTACAACAGGGATGGACCTTGAAATCATTCTAATAAGTGAAATAAGCCATTCCCTGTAGGACACCTGGTGTATCTTCGTGCTTAAGTATGGGACCCAGAGCTGTTAGATCCACAGCGGTGAGCGGTGGTGGCCGGAGGCTGGGGACAGTGGGTGAGGGGACAGAATTGTCTAATGGGTACAGAATTTCAGTTGGGGAAGATGAACAAGTTCTGGAGATGGTTGTGCAATAGTGTGAATGTATTTAATGCCACAGTACTATATAATTAAAAATGGTAAATTTACTGTTACTATATTTTACCACAGTACATTTTTTTTTTTTGCAGTCTTTTGGTTGTGAAACGGTCTGTCACTGTGGTACTGAGGTGGGGCATCTTTCTTTCCATGGCCTGGCTATTTGAGTTTCCTCTTCAAAGATGTCTTTTTGAGCATTTTGCCTATATTCTGATTGGGTTATGCATCTTTGCTCACTGATGGATGGCCCATCGTCGCGCTGTCATTCATGGGAGAGCCTGTCCTCTCCCACTGCTCTGCAGTGGCACGTCTGCTGTATCTCACGTTACTATTACTGGGCCTGGTTCTGGGCTTGATTACATCCTGTTTTTCTCCTTATCCTGTGCCAATACTGTGTCTACTGTAGCTTTTTATTTGTTCTTTCTTTAATACCCACAGATTTGTAGAAATACAAGTCATACACCACACAGTTTACCCATTTAAATATACAATTTACTGGTTTTATTGCATTCACAGAGCTGGACAGCCATCACCACATTCAATCTCAGAAGAGTTCATCTCCCCCAGAGAAACCCTGTGTCCCGTTAGCAGTTATATTTGGTCTTGCTGTCTGGTGGACACATGCCTCTGCCCAGTGGTGGTGTTCAGGAGTTTCCTGGCTATTCTTCACTGTGAATTAAATCGCTATATTCCATAAAAAGTCTGTAGGAATTGCAGAATTGCACTGAATCTGTATTATCAGATTGGTGAGAATTAACTTCTTTATAATATTAACTCCTTCTGCTCATGAATGTATCTGGGATCCTATCTTTTCATCTGTACCAAGCCTGGCCCATGGGGAATCCTCACCAAATGCTGGGTATGTGAATGATGAGATTTTGTAAGTCGTTGGTTTCCACTGTAGCCTTCATAAAAGAGAAAACTAAACTTCCGTGAAACTACGTGACTCACTATGGCCACGTGGAGTGGCGGTCAGTGCTGGAACTGACTGCATGGATGTGCTACCAGCAGCCAGCGTTTTCTGCCACCTACCGCTACGGGTAGCAGCATCCTTTTTGCCAATGTATGCTGCTCGTCTGCTTTAAGGTTCATTAATTTGGTCTTATCTGCAGGTGGCTTTTCTCAGATGGGCCTGTGTGTGATTTGTGTGTGTGTTAATAAAGATCTGTGTTTGGGAGAATTCCCTGCCTTGTGTAGTGCCTGGCACAGAGTGCCCTCTGCGCACACGGGTGAATTGGGAAAACCATAGTAATGGTTGGAATTTCTATTACGATTCAAAATTCTCAGTTTCTGTAAATGATGATGATTCCCCGATACAGCCCATCTTAATTTTGGAGGCACACACTGAGTGACTTGATGCAGCCTCAGTATTGAGGAGAGAGGGCTCTATAGGAGTTTTCTCCTTTCCTTTCTTTTTTAAAAGCATTTTTCCTCTTGGGCCTTACAGATGTTTCATCCATTCAGCAGTGCCGTGCCCGGCGCTTGCGTGGTGCTGTGATGACGCAGTGCTCGTCAGTAAGGCCCTTTCCTCTTCTGCCCTGGGCCTCTGTTTTCTTCTCTGTACGGTGAGGGTTTAGGGTAGATGAGTGTTTTTTAGTTTCTGTTAAACCTGTGCTTCCTTTGAGAAACACAAAAACTCCAAATCTTTCTCCTTCAACCCCAACCCTTAGGGTTTTGAGCATCCCCGAAGGGGTGCCACACCTCTTTGTTGAAGGTTGATTTGGTGAATGATTTTGGTTCATTCCGAGGCGATGCAGGAAAGGCTCTTCGGAGAGTTCGTGCTGGGAGGGCGTGGGAGGGTGGGGGCATCGCCCTCCAGGTGCCCGTGCAGGGCCCGTGCCGGGGGTTAAGTGCGCCTCCGGCCGGGCCCCACTGTGACTGACCAACGCAGTGCACCTTTCTTTGCCTCTGTTTCTTCATATGTAGAGTTGAGGTGGTATTATTTAAAGGTTTAAATGAAATAATATACATACAACCATTAGTGTCCTGGGTAGAAACCAGGTATGTGAGGCAGCCACGGGTTCGGGTTCTTTTTTTTTCAATCTTGCCCATTCTCCTCTATCCACGTGTAGTTTGAAGTTTGTGGAGGGTGAGGGTTGAAATCTAAAGCCCCTCGTGGGGTAGGTGGCCTCTGATGCCGTCCTCCCTCGCTGCTGCCCTTCTTCTTCCTCTCAGCCCAGGATGACATTCCTGCCCTTAGAATTATGCAGAGGGCATGTGGGAATGGCCTTTAATTGCACTGTTTCAGCCGGGAGGGTGCTGCCATGGCCTCTGCGGTCAGGTGCTCGTGACCTGAAGGCTGTGTAGTTTGCATTTCCTGCTTAAGGACAAGAAAACAACATTACAAATACAAAATTACATAAAGGGTCATGGAAGGGGCCCTTGCAAGTGGGGCCTGAAGCCTAAGCTCCGTCCCTGCAGGGTACAGCCGCCTCCAGCCCCGAGTGCTGCATGCCCACACTCTGAAGCGCACCAGTGGCCCAGTGGGGATGGTTGGTGTGTCTTACCGGCTAGGTGGTGTCTTGGTTGTGTGGTGTATTCCTTATCTGATACAGTGAGCTCATTTGGTCTCATTAGCCTTTTAAAAAATGTAGACATTTTATTCTGAGATGGAATGTAGATTCCCGTGCAGGTGTAAGAAGTGATACTGAGGAAGCCCGTGTACCCTTTGCCCAGTGTCCCCCAATGGTACCATCTTGCAAAACTACAGTCCAGTATCAAAGCAGGAATATTGACTAATAACCCTTTGAAGTATATGTTATTCTCTTTTTTATTCATGATTAAACTGAAGTGCGGAAAAGTGCACAGTCCTGCCCAGGTCACGCAGGTGGGCAGCGTCTGGTCAGGGGGTGTTATGCATGGTCTGACTTCCAGGCAGCGCTGTTCCCGTTGAACTGGTCTGTGGGAGGGGCAGCACCCACCTGCTGCTTTGTTCACTCTCTCAGGGGGCAGTTACCAGGTACCTCCTGTGAGCCAGATGCTTTCGTACAGGTTATCTAACCTAACTCCCCAACAGTAGGGTGAGTCAGGTAATGTTTTCTCTTTGTATCTGATGAAATTGGCCCAGAGAGGTTATAAATACTCTCCCAGAGTAGCATAGTTCGTAAAGGCGTGCTAGTAGATGTGTGTAACCCCTCCTTTTAGGTCAGGCAGTGTGTCAGGTACTTCACCTTTACAGCTTCGGGTAATCCACATGTAGCCTTACACGGCAAGTTTTATCATTTCCATTGTTTTCCTGCTTAGGTGCTCAGGGAGCCTGGAGTTCAAATACAGATCTTCTGATCCCACTGTGGTTCTTTTCATTATTTCCTCCTTAGGGAGTCGGGTTCATTCATTGTTCATTTATTCATTCAAAAACATTTTTGAGCACTGACTTTATATCAGTACCTGCCTAGGTGTTAGAAATGGAAAGGAAGAGACACCCCTTCTCTGCGAGAGCTTGGAGCCTAGTCCGAGCCACAGGATTGTGGTAAAAGCTCTGGTAGCCTTATGCAGAACTGTAAAGACAAACTGTATTCCACAGCTTTGCTTGGGGCTTAGCCTGCCTTCCAGGAAGTAGACGTCAGGATCGGTGCGTCCCAGCGTGGCCAGCAGTGTGCACCTCACAGTCTCCTTTCCTCTCTCTAGGCAGAGGCTTCAAAATGAGCGTCCCTGACTACATGCAGTGTGCTGAGGACCACCAGACCCTCCTTGTGGCGGTCCAGCCTGTGGGCATCGTCTCGGAAGAGAACTTCTTCCGGGTCTACAAGAGGGTTTCCTCGGTGAGCCAGGTCAGCGTGCGGGATTCCCAGCGAGCGCTCTGTATCCGCTACCGGCACCACTACCCGCCTGAGAACAACGAATGGGGCGACTTCCAGACCCACCGCAAGGTGGTGGGCCTCATCACCGTCACAGACTGCTTTTCGGCCAAGGACTGGCCGCAGACGTTTGAGAAGTTCCACATGCAGAAGGAGATCTATGGCTCCACGCTCTACGACTCCCGGCTCTTTGTCTTCGGGCTGCGGGGGGAGATCGCCGAGCAGCCGCGCACCGACGTGGCCTTCTACCCCAGCTACGAGGACTCTGAGACTGTGGAGAAGAGGGTCGAGGACTTCATTGAGTCGCTGTTCATTGTGCTCGAGTCCAAGCGTCTGGACAGGGCCACAGACAAGTCTGGGGATAAGATCCCCCTTCTCTGTGTCCCCTTTGAGAAAAAGGACTTTGTAGGCCTGGACACAGATAGTAGGTAAGTTTATCTATAGGCTCACGTGCTTTGTGCTTGGGCTGTAGTGATAATCATATGGTAGAATATTATTGTAGCAAAGGGTAGAAAGGCACAGGCCATTGGCTTTTCAGACTTGCGAAAACAGATAGCCTTTGGTTAAGGGAAATCTTTTTAGGGTCAGTGTGTACACTTACTCCCCCATTTCAGCCAGGACCGCTGGGGACCACGGAGCTGCTGTCCAATACAATAGACACAGCCACTTGTGGCCGTGAGCACCGGAGAGGTGGCTAGTCTGAGCTGAGATGTGCTGTTAAGAAAATGCGCATCAGAGACTGAGACTTAGTATGGAAAGAAGCGTGTAAAATTCCTCATCAATATTTTTTATATTGATTACATGTCAAAATGATATATTTTACATATATCAGGTTAAATAAAACATATTATTAAAATCAGTTTCAAGTGTTTATTTTTTACTTTTAAAATGTGGCAACTAGAAAACTTCAGTTATGTGACTCACATTTTATTCCTATTGGACAGCGCTGCCCCAGCCCACAGTCGGAAGCTCATTCACTCCGTCCCTTTGATTCACTGAGGAGACGCTGACCCTGGAGAGGCGGCAGGGCTGGGCGCCTGCTGCTCTGGACGTGAGCCTGGGCTCCTGCCCCCCAGGCCGGGCGCCTCCTTCCTGCCCGATAGGCACACTCAGACTCCTGGCTCAGTCAGCCAAGATGAGCTTCAGAGTGTCAGGAACACTACTTGGGGCTTCTTAAAGAGCGCCTTATACACATGAAGGTGGTTTCTGTTCCCTGGGTCACAGGGAGGGTCGGACAGAGCAGGGAAAGAGCAGTCCTCACATTTTCTCTGTGGTTAAGTGCACAGCCTGCTTCACACCAGGCTCACAGGTAGCTCCCCTGTGCCATGTGCTCCCCCTCTGCTCTCTGCTCTGTTTTTGTGTATTTTCCTTGCAGCATCCATTCAGCAGGAGGGGAAGAGATGCAAGCTTAGGTTGCAACTGTTTGCCAAGAGGCGGTCCCTTTGCTAGGGACAGCGTGGGGGTAGCTGTGTCACTGCCTGGCCTGTGGCCGTGGGCTCTCCAAGTCCCTCCTTCCCGCTCTGTCGATTTAGGTGATGGTTTCACAGGTTGCCATCCTGTGCGTGCTGGCAGAGTGCCCAATGCAAAGTAGGAGCTCAGTGTTTCTTGAATTTACCGAAGGTCAGATACTGACTTTCTGCTTGTTGTTAACATGGAGAACACAGTACAGAACTGAGAAAAAGTAAAACAGACCAGCCCTGCCGGTGAGCGGCACGGAGCAGCCCAGGTCCGCCTGCCTGTGGTTGCCACGTGGGGTCTGGAGGGATGATCCTCTCCTCACCAACCATGTTTATGTGGCCCAAGGAAAGGGCAAGGTGTGTGTGGCACCACAGCCCCCTTGGCCCTCACAGTGGCCCTCTGATCTACACGCCCGTGCTCCCCTTTGCTCCGTGGCACCCGGGCCCCTGCCCAGTGGTGGAGCAGGGGTGTGCACCAGGCCCCCTCCTCTGCCTCCGTGCACTCTGCTCCCTGCTCAGCAGCCCGCGGCCTCACCGGGGCCTGGCCCCGCTCACCCACAGACTGGTGGGGGAGCGGCCAAGCCACAAAGGCATCCTGGGCTGGGCACCTGGCTCTGGCCCCTCAGCCGGAGCCTGCTCCCTTGCCGCATGAGGCACTGGTGACATTTTTCAGTCATTGCCTTCTTGGATTTGAGGCTGCAGACCCACCAGAGAATGCCAGCTTGTTTTTGCCTTTTGAAACCTGCTCACAATTTGGCAGAGTAACGAGACTGGTTTGGGTCACTGTGCCTGGCATAGTGGCTAATAATACTACCACGCATTTATTGAGAGCCTCCATGTGCCAGGCACGGCTCTAGGCCCTGTGAAATGCAGCAGTGAATTTAACTGCCCTCCTGGTGGGTCCATGCTGCTGTGATCCTACTACAAACACTCAGCCATCTTTTGAACTTCAGGGAGATAATGATGCCATCACCTCAAGTCATATGCATTCTCCTCTAATCATGGTCAGTCTGTTGGTCTCACGACTTCATAGCCTCTGAATTTTAAAAACAGTCATTTGGTGCAGGAATGGAGCTGAACTCTCACCTGTAACTCCTGGTAGGTGTGACGCAAAGTGTCCAACCGGAAAGGAGTTTGTATTTTGCAGCTCGAACGAAGCAAGTAGACGTAGGTCGGCTTTGCTTTGACCCCCTGCCCACACCGGTAGGCCCCGTGGCAGATCAGGCTGAGTCCGGCCCAGAGGCCCGGGGCCGCGCCCAGTCGGGGCGGGTGTGTGTCACCCCCACGGCCACCCGGGCCCCTAGCCTCACGAGCGCCCACGGTCAGCTCCTGTGCGCGTAGTGGTGTAGCTGTCAAAGTTGTTTTTCTTCTTGTGTGTTTCTAATTTTTGCTTGTTCCTTTCTTTTCTTTTCCTTTTTTTTCTCTCATACCGCCCTGTGAGTGTGTTGTTGGGTCTGAAAAGGTAGGCTGTGCACCTGGTGCGTTGGGCGTAGTAAGATCTCCCTGTGTGCTGCCTTCTCTGCCTTGCTGTGAAAAACAGGCATTGCTGGCTAGAGCCTCTTTTATTATTATATAATATTGTTATATAATATTATATAAAATAATCCTGTTTTACTATCATCTTTTTTTTTCTGATTTTTGAAATTTTAGCACGTGACGCATTGGTGTTTGATATCTGTTAAAAAACCTGCTTTGGTATTTTTGTTTGGTCTCACTTGGCATTTGGTGGCAACCTATTAATTATTTTGGCCTGAGGAAGCGAGAGGCTAATTGGTTTAGGTGGCTGCAGACGCTTTTCCATGGGTTTTTTAAACTTGGAAATCCTAAGGCCGCAGCACCTTGCTTGCTTCTGGCTTTTAAATGAATGTCCGAGGCACATGATTCTGGCTGAGGCTGTGTGCTGTGCATGAGGGCGCCTAGCGTCCAGCAGTCCGGGTAGAGTGTGCCCCGCAGGGGGAGCTTGTGGAGGCAGCCGCCACCCGGGCTTCCTTGGCGCTCACCTCGCATGTGCTGCTTACCTTACACGCCTGAGTGACTTTCCTCCGTAATGGGGTGCAGGCTGTTCTAAAACCCACACCAGTCCTCTGTCCCCTAAAGGAGGATAACTTTTCGAAGGATCAGGAAAATACAGCTTTCTCATAGTTAGCTTGTTCATTTGGATCTTGGGGACACGAGAACCTCTGTAACTGGCCGTAGTTTCCGCTCTGGTTTAGCCAGCATTCGGAGCCAGATGTGCGGCTGATCTTAGCAGTTGTACAGGCCCTAACCTGCCCTGGCCTTTACTTTCAACCCATGTTGATAAGAAATAGCTGTTTCTGTATTTGTTGAGGCCAAGGCCTGTCACCTTAGGGCCCATTGTTAATTGGCAGTAAGGAGATTCCAAGATGAGGCCAGCCTGGAAGGCTGACCTAGGACCTTCTGCTCTTCACCCAGTGCATCTCTCATGGCAAAGCTGTTGCCACCGCCACCAGGCCTTGCTGCTGCTTTAATGCTCTGGCCGATGTGAGCACTTTCAGCCTTCATTTACTATGTCTCAGTTGAGACAGGCTGGACTGTCTGAAAGATTCTGTCACATTCAGGGGCGGGGGAACAAAACAGAAGGAAGTGTAGCGGATACGAGGAGCTGCAGCTGTCCAGCTTCGGAAAGGCAGGGATCTGGTGATGGCTGGGCCTGTCCCGGATGGCCCGGCCTTCCCTGTTGCACCCTAGATCCCAGGGAATCAGGGTGAGAATAGACTTGGCTGGGGTCCTCTCTTCTCTCCTGTTCACCTCTGGCAGGTGTGTCCGCTGACAGGAGCTCTTCCACACCTCAGACCCTTCGAAGCTCAGATCTTGGGAGGACCCTGTGTCCCTTTTCCCATCTGTCCCCTTGGCCTCCCGTGTGAGACCCAGGTGGCTTCCCTAAGTGATGGGTACCAGGAGAGAGCACCCTCTTCAGTGAGCGTCCTTCACGCACTTGCTGTGAGCTTGCTGTGTCCTGTGCGAGGTCCTGCAGAACGCGGTTCAGATGTACTTAGCGAAGTGACAGGCATGCCCCTGAGCACAGTGTGGGCCCCAGGGTGAGGAAGAGGGGTATTGCTGCGATGCCCAGGCCTGTGGCTTGGACAGCTGGGCTTGTGGTGGGCTGCTCACTAGTGTAGGGGACAGATGTGCTGCTGGGGGCCAAATTCCAGAGTAAATGCCGGATATGGTTTTTAGATGTTTTGCTCCGAGTTTGGGTTTATGAGCCTGAGCTCAGGGCCAGGAGCTGGATCAGAGGCACACCTGGGGGACTGTCAGTGCTGGGCTTGTGTGCGAGGCCACGGCTGTGGATGGGCTCCTGTGGATGGTGTGGCTGGGGGGGAGGGAGGTCGGGCTGTGGCCAGTGGGTAGGAGGATAGCCCAGACTGGAGGCTTTGTTGGTCTACAGCTTTGGGGTTTTAGGAGCAGCTGCCATTTATCTGAAAGGTTCTGGGGTTAAGGCAGCTACTAATGAATCTAAAGGGAGGATGTGGTCAGATAGGCATCTCAGGAAGATGGCTCTGGCTGCAAGAGTAGCGTGGGAGTGAGGAGAGAGGCCTGGAGGGGTGGGAGTCCCGGGTGGTTGGGCTCTTTCCTCTGGAGCAGAAGGCAGATTGGAGAGGGTGTATGGGGAGGGAGGTGGTGGGAATTGGGAGGAGACTCTGTCATGTAAGATTGTTGCCTAGTTCTAGAATAGTCTTTCTCCCAAAAATAAGGTTAAAAAAGCCCAAACCTCTTAAGAGCTCAGGTAATTAACTATGGAGGAAGCAGTTCTGTTTTGACGCTTCTAAGTGGAAGGCACTTCAGGGGTGCATACAAAGGTGTGGGAGTCTAACACAGAGGCTTAATCCTTATTAGGGGGAATAGTGCAAGTTTACAAGGGGGAAGGGTGGAGGGAAGCTAGCATGACTGTATGTCAGGTGCCATTGAGCCGTCCTACCTGCATCGGTGCCATTGAGATGGGCAGTGGCAGGCGATTTTGTAGGGCGGGGAGCACACTCAGAGGGACTAAGCCATTAGTCCAGCATCACGCAGCTAGGAAATGCTGTAGCAGGATTCAAGCCTGGGCTTATCAGACTTTAAGGTGTGTTCTGTCTGCTAATTCTGTTCCGTCCCTTTTGTACCTGGAACAGCAAAGCACATCAGTGTTTGAGCCTCTCGGAAAAACATCTCTTATTTAGAAGTGCAGCAGATCTAGTTCATGAAGCTCGGGCTTCTCTGATGGTCAGGAAGCATCAGAACGCTTTACAGCACAGAGAGGCAGGCCTTCATTTCACTTGTGCCATGATAGCCTGGTTGCAAATATGCACAGATGCAAAATAAGCCTTAGAGACTCCTGCACTTGTTTGAAAACTGCTCAGTTCTTCTTTCCAGCAGAACATGACCATACTGCAGGGCAGACCTGAGTGTTTCCTTTACAGAGTGATGGCTTGATTTCTACTTTTTAAGTCTAAAAATGTTCAGATGGAGAAAATCAACATTAACAGCTTATTTTCAGTTCTTTATTCGACAAGATGTAGTATATCAGTTCAGGACCCATACGGCATCTGGAATTGCATGTAAAACATTGCATTTCTTACTTTCTGTCTAGAGCTGTCTTGTAACTTAAGGTTGTCTACTTTGGGACTTCAGTACCACCACTGGGCACCTTCCAGGGCATTAGTTTGATCGCACCTTTTCTCCCCATCTCCATACCTTTGCTAACTAGAAGTCGAATTCTTTTAATTCTGTTACCTATTTCTTAACTGCTTTTCAAAGTTTGGCATAGTTGCTAGTTACTTTGAGATGCTGTGGTCTTGGGCATGTAGCCCTTCAAGAGTTAAGTGCTTTAATTTATGTGAATCAGTGATATATTTTTGATTGTATGGTATTTTGGAAACTTCCCCCAAAGAATTAGGATTCATTCTGTTTTTATATAATTAAAAATATCTTTTATTGTTTTGTTAAATCATATGACCTTAGCATAAAACCTATGAGTGTATTTTGATGACTCCTTTTTGTAAAAATCCTGTTTTCAAAGCAAATTGTTTCTGACCACTTTTTATTGCATATTTGTCATGCATTTTTATTATGATTATTATGATTGTGTTTTTATTATGATCGCACTTGAGCATTTTCTGGGCTACATTTTGCTGTAGCAGATGTGTATCTGTTAAGTTCATGTGAAGGTGTGGTAATCTGCCATTTTTGAAGAGTCAAGGCAGGATGCTTTAAAGCAAATTGTAGTCTAACAGGTTAGGAGTAAAGTCTGTTTTTAAAAAAGGCTAATTCAAAATCTACTGAGTCAGCATAATGGTAATATTTGTAAATCTAGCCGCACATTTAAAGGTGACAGGTGACTGGAGGAGGAAAGTGTGCATTTGGGTGCTGAGTTCCTTTCCCGGTTGGGACAGGAGGGAGCTGGGGAAGCGAGGCATGCACTGCTCACGTCTGGGAGCGATGCCCGGGGCTGCATTTCTGTGCGCCGGACGCAATGGGCTGTTTCTCCTGCGCACAGAGCGTGTTTCCTCAAGTACTCAGTGCTAGTGCATCATGTCAGGGATAAAGGACCCTATGCAGCGCATGGTGTGGAGGCCAGAGGAGACGCTCTCACTTCTCCTAACATGTCCGGGTGGCAGGAGACACATCTGTGAGAAGCCTTGAATTCGGGACTTGGGCTGTGGTTTTGCTTTTTGTTCTTCCCTTTCCTCTTTTTATCTCTCTCTCCTTTTCCTGAATGCCCTCAGAGAGGTCATGGTCTTAAGGGGTGGGATGGGCAAACACCCAGTTAGTTAAACAGACTGCAGTTGCGTGGAGGGCAGCCGTGCCAAGAGCCGGAGGACGTGGTCCGAGGAGCTTCCCAGAGGGGAGGCCTCTGAGTCGGGTTCTGAAGCAGACCCGGAGTCAGGCAGGGGAGGCCAGGAGGGCTCTCGGGTGGCAGGAGCAGCCTGGCCAGAGGCCTGGAGGCACGCGGGTGTCCGCGGCCCATGGTGCGGAGTTCAGGGAGGAGGGCGCTCCCGCTGGGGAGGACGCTGGAGAGGACCTGGGCCTGCAGGGCTCTGGAGGGGCTCGGTTTTTCTTAAACTGACAACAAAAGGAGGCAGTGGCCGGAGTCCCAGGGCGCGGCGTGTAGGAGGCTGTTCCTGGCTTGCCTCTGCTGACCTTCTGCCGAGAGTAGGGGTTGGGATGGGCAGGAGAAGCCCCGTCTGCCCCTTTAAAGCCCATCCATTTGTTTGTTCATTCGTAACAAACTTGGTTTTGAGTGTCCGGGGGAGAGGGGCGTATCCACAGTAGTAAGCAAAATGTCCTTTTTGGAGCTGACAGATGTCAGAAGTCGATGCAGTGCAGAATGGCCTAGGAACACAGCAAGGACACCTGACCCACAGGACAGGGGTTGAGGAGAGAAGGCCTCCACCACACAGTCAGGATGAGCCCAGAGGAGAGGGGCAAGGAGGGAGCGGAAAGGTCAGGAGGAGTCTGAGGCCAAGGGGCGGGCGTGGTGCTGCAGAAAGGCTGTAGGTGCCAGGGCAGCGGGAGGAGGGGGAGGGGCTGGCACTGGTCTGGGGACCCTCTGAAGGGTTTGAAGTGGGGGGTGACATAGTTAATCTGTGCCTTTCAGAGGCCACTGGCTGTGTGTGGGGGGCGGGCAGGGATGTAGAGGAGGGGCCGTGCCCAGTGGGGAGGTCTCTAGAAAGCTGTCAAGGTGGCTGGTGGGAGGAAGGTGTGTGGTGGGGGCTGGCGGTGACAGTATAGGTACTGCATTTTCTTGTGGGGAGGGCTTGTTGGTGGGGGCCATCCTGATGGGCCTTTTGGGTGGGAAGAAGACAGATGCAGACTGGCATTCCCTCTTCGCTGCCCTCTGCCTTAGCTGGCGATCTGGGACAATGCACCTTTTTACTGAGATCTGTTAATAACATTCCTTTAGCTACAAACTTCACATCTGTTTTCTCATAGGAACTTTTATTCCTGGTAAGATTGCTCTCCTGGTAAGAGAAAATTTAGTACAGCTGCTGTTTTCTTTGAAAATATCCTATCTTTTAATAAATTTAATATTCAGAAGAATAGGATTATTAAAAATGGTAAAGGAAGATTTTGGTATAGTTTCTTCGGTTTCTGGGCTAACGTAGAGTTAGAAGCCGAGGCATTATTTAATAGCATATCTTTACCAACATTTAAAGAACTGTTAGTAAGTGCCCCAGGCCCCACCCCTGAAAGCATTATTAAAGCTTGCTCTGAAACAGTGAGGATAAAGGTTTTGTTTGCAAAAGCCAAATGGTTGTCTTATAATATGGGACATAGGTCTCTTTATAAAATAATAATAGGTATGGAGTAAAGAAAGTGGAAGATAATTGATTTTTTTAAAAGGCGAAATACAAGCTTTCTTGTGCTAATGTTGCAATTGGAAAACTTGGAAAGAAAACTCCTACTCTAATACCATCTAAGTGAAATACACTGTGGAAGTCATGTATACCTATTGCCTTTAAAAAGTAACTTGGCAACAGCTTTTGAGGTGAGGACCATTCCAGCTCAGATACCGGCAATGACTGCTGTTCAGTTACAGAGCCTAATGTTGCCTTCTTAGCATTTAATACTTTTAGTGAGAGAGCCGAATAGTGCTTAGTCTGTGTGCTCTTGGGGCGGAGGTCACGTTCTGGCGGTGATACATTGCCGACGTTTTGTCTTGCAGACATTACAAGAAGCGGTGCCAGGGGCGCATGCGGAAACACGTGGGGGATCTATGCCTGCAGGCCGGGGCGCTGCAGGACTCCCTGGTCCATTACCACATGTCCGTGGAGCTTCTCCGCTCGGTGAATGACTTTCTGTGGCTTGGAGGTGAGATGGTCTGATGAAGATGGTCAGATATGTACTTACAGCAGCTGATGTTTGAAATAAGAGAAAACAGGAAAAATGGCTCTAAAAATAAAGGACAAAGGGGAGAAGCAGCCAGCAGTCAGCTGTGCTGGTTGCTGAGGGCGGGCATCTGGGCTTCCCCACCTGGGCCTGTCCCCAAGCCCTGCTGAAGTTTGCCCGCACTTCCCTCCATGACAGCGCCCGCCTCTCCTTGCCCCCTGCCTCCTGCTCAGCATGCCAGGCCCCCTGTTTGCCTCTTACACTCATTCTGTCAGACCCTCAACCTCACATCAGGTGCTGGATATACAAGCTGTGGTGCATCCATACGGTGGGGTATTATTAAAGCACAAAAGCGAATGAGACACTGACACCACCACACAGATGAACCTCGATACCATTGTGTTATGTAAAAGGAGCCAAACACAGGAGGCTGTGCATTGTGTGACCCCAGGGATCTGAAATGTCCAGAACAGGCACATCTGCAGAGGCAGAGAGCAGACTGGCTGCTGGGAGCTGGGCGGAGGCGGATGGGGAGACTGCTAATGGGCGTGGGTTTCTTTTGGGGTGATGGGAATGTTCTGGAATTAGATGGTGGTGATGGTTACACAACTGTGAATACACCAAAAACCTCTGGATTGTACACTTTTAAGTGGGTTTTATGTATGTGAGTTAATCTCAAGTTAAAAAATTTGAGAAAAGGGGATAAAGAGGCACAAAATCTCAATCATAATATAAGTTAGTCATGAAGATGAAAGTACAATGTGGAGAATATAGACAGTAATTCTGTAATATCTTACTCTGTTGACAGACAGTAGCTGCACTAGTTGGGGTGAGCATTTAATAATATAGACAACTGTCAAATCACTATGTTGTAAAAAAAAGAAAAAGAGAGAAACCTACCTCAAAGGACAACCTGTTCTGTCCCCTCCGTGCAGTAGGCGCCTGGAGCATCTTGTACAGAACCCTGTCTGTCATGCAGGGGAGCCTCTGGGGTGGAGCTGTGTGTCTACACGTTCCTCCTTCAGGGACCGACCCCCAGGGCTGGCGGTGGGAGTCCCAGCGTGCGTGTGTCTGTCATCCAGCGTACTGTAGGTGTTCCGCAAGTGCTTGTTGAATAGGTGCTGTGTGAGTGAGGACTAAAGCAGGGTTCTTCCCTGGGAGGAGCAGGTAGTTCAGCTGGGGGGGGTGGCCTCTCTGTCAGCCACTCAGGATAAACACAAGTCAGAATGCAGTGGCAAGGTAAGTTCTTTACTAAAGGTTTAACGGTGTGCTGTGGGGCAAATTAAATGTAAGAAATTCTTAAGATGGACTTCAATCCATAATTTAGCTTCGAAGGAGTGTAGAGAAATAAAAGTGGGAAAGTGAAGGAAGAGGCCCAGGATGAGACGGAGAAGGGCAGGAGCAAGCAGGAGGAGGGAGACAGACGTGCTTCCATCGGTTTCCTTGAGGGCGAGTCACGCCACCCACTGTTGAGTGGTGGTCCCCGTCCGGGCCTGAGCTGTGACCGAGGGCTTGTGCCGCAGACCCTGATCAGGAGCGGCTTGTGCACATACCACACCCGCAGAGCAACAGCCCGGGCTGCCAGGACTCCTGCAGGAGGCGTGGAGACGGCTGTGCTGTGTGCCACCTGCCTCTGTCTCTCAGTCTCTCCCAAACATACACCGCAGTTTCTCAGAGGCTGAGTGACATCATAACAGATTGAATGCAGAGGCAGATAAGAGACTCTGGCTTACTTGTATTAAGCCAGACATGAAAGAAATCTGTAAAAATGTAAAACAATGTTATTCTTACTGCATGTTATTTTTGTTTTGGAAAATAGCTATTGTTCATAAAAATGTAATGTGTAATGGGCTTCTTATTTTAAAGGAATGAACACACACATATTTAAAATTCTGTTCTTGTTTTATTTTCAAAGACAGTAAATATCTGTAGATGAAACGAGCACAAAAAAGAAGCCCTTTGTGATCCTCAGTAATTTTTCACAGTTATCAAGAGGTTCTAAGACCAAAAAGTTTGAGAAATGCTGAACTCGTGAATACAGATGAACACTGTAGTCCTACTTGGAAGGCCTGTGGCATGGCTTGAGATTCTTAGGACAGAAGTGTCGGTGATAGAAGGACCAGATGCCCTCCAAGTCAATGTGGCCGTCCCCGGGAAGGACAGGCTGACAGGTGTTTGCTCCAGCGGAGGCAGAGGCGCTAGAGTGTGTGATGTGAGAAGGCCCAGAGGCCCTGCCCTGGTGGTAGTACGTTTAGTATCTATGATCCAGGGCACTGCTGTCCTCTCTGTAGCATCAGAATCTGGCCCCACGCCTGCCACCCAGTACATACCAGGCCGTCGGTTAAATGCATGAGGAGCCTGGCCCGTTTGGCACGTGTCCTCGGCCTCTCTGTGAAGCCTCGAGTGTGGTGGGGCGTTCTGTGCTGCCTCTCTCCACACGGGCGCACGAAAGGTGATAGGTGGCACAGTCCTGCTTCTAACAAAACAGTGATCTGTAAGTATGATCTTTGTTTCGGGGAGAAGCTGACATTTCCACAGAATCCAACTGTTCAAATCATTCCTAGCCTCTGCAGTTTGAACTGATGGTGGACCACTACCTGTAACAACTGTGCCCCTCTTTTTGATGCCAGCCGCCCTTGAAGGCTTATGCTCAGCTTCTGTCATCTATCACTATCCTGGTGGAACTGGGGGTAAGACAGGAGCTCGAACGTTCCAGGGCAGCTCACTTCCTGCCGAAGCGTCCAACAGACATCGGCCAGGTAAGCTCTGCCCTTTCCTCCGGCCTGGACTCCTTCACAGTCTTCAAGAAAGCAGGAGTAATTTATTACATTCCCCTCTGTGTTCTGTTTAAGTGAAGTATAAAGTCTGTAGACGCAGAAGTCTGTGTGTGCCATTTTCTTCTGATTGTACTGAGTATTTGTTGATCTTGACTCCACCTGAATAATATGAATGGATTACAACGACTGGTTGATTTCTGAAACACTAACATAAAAGTTCATGGTAGACTGACCTTGAAATTCTGTACCTGGCCCTTTTTCATAATTTTGTATTTGCTGAAGCTGGTTCCAGATGTCAATTTTAACTGCTAACTCAGGGCCTGGGGTTGTTTCTTATTTTCCTGGTTGACGAAGTTCTCTTAATGAGTTAAGTTTGATTGGCTTATGTTTTTTCTAGCACCAGTGAACAGTGAAAATCTTTGGAGGAGTCAGACCCATAAAAGCTCGTTGGATGAACCTGACCCTTTCACTCTCAATGAATGAACTTTCAGTGGTTCAGGATATAGGTGTCATCATGCTTAGGTCATGAAAATAATAACAAAGAATGTGGAGATAAAGGCGATTTCCAACACTGCTAGGCTTTGATCTAGGAGATTTTAGACATTTTTCCCCCAAAAGAGAAAGCCCCTGGATGGGGAAGTGCCTTGAATTTCTTTTCCCTGAATTGTACGCGCCCCCCATCATTAGCTCAGAATGCAGAGACTGCCTTCATGACCCATGGCTGTGGCTGCAGTCCGCATCTGGGCGCACCCTTGGTGGAACCGCTCAGGTAAACCTGTAGATTCCCGGAGCCGTTTTCCTCTTCAGCAGCGCGTTCTTAATGATTTCAGTGGTTTCTTAGTTATCCGAAAGGGGAGTAAAGCAGAGTAAAGGACTGAGATGGGGACAGCCTTCATTTCAGGATATCTCTGCTCCTGCGTTTCCTGTGCCGGGTCCTGGCTTGGGAAGCCTGTGGCCTGCCCCACCTGCTTATTCCTCCTTGTAGGGCTGTCTCTGCGCACCACGGCAGAGTTCAGGCCCTGGGATCCTCTCTAGTCCACTACCGAGTGCTGAAACCTCCAACACACTCAGAAAGCTGAGGTGTGTTTTACTTTCTCTCTGGAAGGAAGCCTCCTGTGCTCTGGGTGGGCGGGCCTTCGCTGGAGCTTGGCCCTTTTTTGTCCTGCTTATGATTTGAAGAGTTCTGATGCCTTGAGAATGCTCTGCCCCTGAGAGGAGTGAGACTCTCGAGAAATTTAAGTCATGTTTCATTTTTTTCCCTTGCCAAATATGGGCAAAAGTAGTTTTAAAGTTTTTTGAAAAACTGCCCTGTCTGCAATAGAGAAATGTCTTTATTTAGCTTTGCATAATGTAAGACACTTGGGGCCTTTTGACTGTTGAAGACGGTCTGTGGGGAAAATTATCCAGAGAAGCCAGACGGGAGCCGGGAGAGCGCTGACATCTGGCTTCCGTGCCTCCCAGGCCGCCGTGGTCCAGGTCCGCCCCGGGCTGGCTCTCATGAGCACACAGGCTGGCTCGTCTTGGGTATTCATTTAAAGATCGGGCACTTTGCAGGGGTAACCTCGTCTTCCATCAGGAATTTATGGCATCAGCTACTTGAGGTGAAGGCCAGACAAACTGATGATTCAACCTCCTCCTTTGAATTTACCGTAGGCTCCCTTTTCAACATCAAAGAAGCGAAATGCAGATGTCACCTGATATCAGTATGATCTGGAGTGAGTTTAATCTGCCTGTGCCTCAGTTTCCTTCCTGTAAATCGGGGAAGACACTTACCTCAGAGGGTCTTGCGAAGGTCTAATGAGATACATGTAGAAAGGGCCCCCCCAGCGCTTGGAAGGTGTTAGCGGCCATCATGGTCAGTATTACTGTTCTTGGTTGTCAGACAGTTTAAGACTTGGTCATATGAATTCACAAATAATGTGAAAACATTCTAGACATCTCCAATCCAATTGCCTAGTTTTCAAGTAGAGTTCCTCTTAGAAAAAGGAATTTTTTTCCCTCTTAGAACTGAGTTATCATAGTTTCAGAAACATTCTGTTGTCTTTACCTCTTTTTGCTTTAATTCTCCTTTTAATTTTTAAAAAACTTTCTTAGTATTCAAAGGTTAGAGGCCACTAATTCCTTTTATCTGGAAATTTGCATATGGACCTGTAAGTCTATAATTAATGGACAAACCTCAGTTTATTAAAAAATCACTAGGACTTTCTGTAATCCACCCAAAATGAACTATTTCTCCTGTAACATTATTTCTACTTTTTGTGTGTCTTAATTTATTAATAGTAATTATCATCATGCCGTAGTGATCAAAGTAGCTATGAATTATCCAGCACCTCCCTGCAGGCGTTTGAGGAGAGGGGCCAGAATCCCCTCTGTGAGCAGAGGGACAGAGGTTCAGGGAGACCGAGTCACTCGCCCCAAATCATGCAGCTGGAGAGTGGCACGCTCGGGACTCGAACCCGGGTTGGTTTGACTGCACAGCATGTATTCTTAATTGCTCCACTAATCAGCCTCCCATGGACTGGTTTCCTGAACTTCTGTGCGTTTGGAAGTGACACATTTTAGTCATCTCAGCCTAATGAGGCCTTAAAAGAAGAGGCGGCAGTGAGGATGTGAGATGGAGTGGCAGAGGAAAATTGTACATTTTCACCAGTGGTTTGTTCTTAGCCAACCACCTAACAAGTTAACGTTTTTTATCTCTGTAAACACTAAAAGCAACATTAAAAATGATTACAGTGCAAAAGAGAAATGGGCTTCACAAATCCAGCCATTGCTAGTGGCTGATTGCTTGTTCTCGAGGATACCTGCTGGGAGAAAAGGTTATAAAGGCTGACTTGGAGTTCTGTAGTCTTCAGTATGGAAGACAAGATTAATTTAGGGAATGTTGAGAGAAAGTAAAAATCTGTGGTCTTCTTTCCTGATGATGGCTAGGTAAGTTTTGTGGGATTGGTATTGTCAGCCTTATTTTTTATGACCTAAGTTTATTTCCTTATTTGTGAAATTCAAATAATGCTATTTGCCTTGTATGACTGAGGGATTAGGGATCCTGCATACAAAGCACCTATGAGGTGCTTATAAAAAATAAACATGCTGTCACAGTGACAGAGGTTGTTCAGAAGTGTTGACTTCAGATATGAGGACGGGGATGTATTTCTGATGTATATTCAATATGTACATGCATGTGATAGAAATTAATATGATTTAAAGGGGTGAGGGCTCAGTTACCTCTTTTTTTAGTTCAGTGTGAAGTTTTGATGAAATCTGTGTCATTCTAGTAAGATAGGGAATAGTTAAATTGCCTTAAACTGAAGAATTTACAGGTCATTTGTACAGAATATATATTTTTACAAGTCAGGATTCATATTGCCATGTAATCATCCACTAAAACCTTTAAATTACTAGGAGTTTGACCATCACCATTAAGTTTAGGAAAATTGATACTGAGCTATTTTCAGGAAATAAGGCTTTCTCTTTTGTGATTGAAGAAAATTTTGATTTTTTTCTGTACCCTTAATAGGTTAAAAAAAATCACAATGTTGGCTTGACATCTTTTCCTTTATAGAGGGAATAAAAGGGGACTCATGCTGTTTTAATATGTAAATAAATGTTTTGGTATTTCAACAAAATTGCATGATTTATAGTTTACCAGCTCTTTGGGAAATATTTTGCAAGATGTGTAGACTACGTGCTGTTGGAAAAAGGCAGACGTGACTTTTATAAATATAGGGCTAGTACGGATCTGTCTGTTTTGGCATAGTGCAAGGCACGAGGACCAGGAGTCAGCTTGGCTGCTGATCGCCAGGACAGATTTCCTGGGTCTCGGTGTCCCCTGTCTGTGAAGTAGAGGGGCCGGACCAGCACGCCTGAGAGTCCTTCCACCATTAGTTTCCATGAGTCTATGTCTTTTGTTTGTATTCAGGAGTGTTAAAGATTTCAGATTAAGTACTGAAAACTGCCCCCTTCCCTGAAGCAGAATTTGGTATGTGCTAACTGAGCTTTTGGTTAAGGTCTCTGAGCATCCTATTTTTAAAAACCTTACAGATCAATCATTTATTCTGCAGACAATTTTTTGTTCATCTTTCCCAGCATCTTGGGAAGCCTTGCTTTGGCCATAGGTGGCGCTGTTGCACTTTGGTCCAGGTCCGCCCCGGGCTGGCTCTCATGAGCACACAGGCTGGCTCGTCTTGGGTATTCATTTAAAGATCGGGCACTTTGCAGGGGTAACCTCGTCTTCCATCAGGAATTTATGGCATCAGCTACTTGAGTTGAAGGCCAGACAAACTGATGATTCAACCTCCTCCTTTGAATTTACCGTAGGCTCCCTTTTCAACATCAAAGAAGCGAAATGCAGATGTCACCTGATATCAGTATGATCTGGAGTGAGTTTAATCTGCCTGTGCCTCAGTTTCCTTCCTGTAAATCGGGGAAGACACTTACCTCAGAGGGTCTTGCGAAGGTCTAATGAGATACATGTAGAAAGGGCCCCCCCAGCGCTTGGAAGGTGTTAGCGGCCATCATGGTCAGTATTACTGTTCTTGGTTGTCAGACAGTTTAAGACTTGGTCATATGAATTCACAAATAATGTGAAAACATTCTAGACATCTCCAATCCAATTGCCTAGTTTTCAAGTAGAGTTCCTCTTAGAAAAAGGAATTTTTTTTCCCTCTTAGAACTGAGTTATCATAGTTTCAGAAACATTCTGTTGTCTTTACCTCTTTTTGCTTTAATTCTCCTTTTAATTTTTAAAAAACTTTCTTAGTATTCAAAGGTTAGAGGCCACTAATTCCTTTTATCTGGAAATTTGCATATGGACCTGTAAGTCTATAATTAATGGACAAACCTCAGTTTATTAAAAAATCACTAGGACTTTCTGTAATCCACCCAAAATGAACTATTTCTCCTGTAACATTATTTCTACTTTTTGTGTGTCTTAATTTATTAATAGTAATTATCATCATGCCGTAGTGATCAAAGTAGCTATGAAT